CTGTACTCTCAGCTATAGCTTGGTTGCTGTACTCAAAGCTATAGCCTTGGTTGCTTTACTCAAAGCTATAGCCTCGGTTGCTTCCTCTCAGCTATAGCCTCGGTGCTGTACTCTCAAAGCTATAGCCTCGGTTGCTGTACTCTCAGCTATAGCCTCAGTTGCTGTACTCTCAGCTATAGCCTCGGTTGCTGTACTCAAAGCTATAGCCTCGGTTGCTGTACTCAAAAGCTATACACAGTTAAGCCCTATTTGTTTTGTTCTTGTGAACTGTTTTTGTTTCTCATTTGTGCTCTTGGACATTCGATATTTGTATAAAGATCTACGGTTTGGAAAATATAACTCATGCTGCAATGATTTTCGATAGTCGAATAAAATATTACTCTTCAGTCGACATTACTTAAACAATAATGAACGACCCGCCAACCCATAATGGGCGAAAGCTCACTTTGGACTATATTATAGCATTATCAATACCAGTGGATTTTATGACGTCATTGTAGCAGATTTTTCGCGATAATGTATCCTATTATTGGCATCAAGGCTCTGCGCCATGGATGTGATTACAATGTTGTTTTCTAAAACGAATAAAGGAGAAACTATTTAAAAAGAAGACAATTGTTAGATAACAAGTATTTTATACTAAAATCGGCATCAAAAGAATGATCCATTGCCAATAACAACGGATTTCAATATCGAAAACCGGCAATTCTGTAAAGGCATCGTCGTCTGTTCTGTACGCTAAAGCGCGTTCACGGGCCAGTGGCCAGGAAACTGTTCCTTTCACGGTGGATTTGTCTCGAGGTTTTCAGATTTTAGTGGCAGCAAATCCACTGATATTGACAACGCTACAAAATAATCACAATAATGATCTCCCCGTTAACCCACTATGGACTCAAGCCCATCACGGGTTATTTTTGTTTAAATGTTGGCATGTACCATGCAAGTTATAGTTGTTATGCTGTTCGTCGTGATAAAAACGTCATTGTCACATGGTTATAAGTACTACTCGAACACGCATAAAATGATGACATAACAACATCGATATATTTCGTAATAAATTCAACACCTGTGAATTATATGCATCATATAAATCGATAAAAAGACACTATCATTTCATGCTCTTTGTAGGCGGATAATTAATAGAACCGCGCTTCTTAGACGAGATAATAGTTTCTCTTTTGTTCTCGGGTCCCACCAATATTAGTAATATTGGGCACGCCTACACACACGTGAATCACGTAATTCCTTGGTGGACGCACTAACAGATAATATAATATCAAGATAAGCAAGGATGCGACTACCGCAAATACAACATAGATTCAGCGAAGCACCACCTATATGACGAAGTATAACAAACATTATCCAAATTATTTTTATATAAGGCAATGTTGATTATATCTTTCATTTAACACAGTCATATTCTGATGACATGCCCGCACTGACGCCTTTTTGTTTTTGTAATTATTTAATCTTGGACATATACATTGATTCTTCTCAGTATATTTGTCTACTGACTGGGTGTTCTGGATGTATTTAGATGTGTATTTAGATGTGTATTTAGATGTACACTTATATTACATTGCGCGTTCTGGACAATCCAACCAATATAAATAATAGAATGAAATAATAACGATGAAATTGTGAACGTAGCGCACTATTCGTCATTTTACCAAGTCAAGGACATGACAAAATTCCCGCTGTGAAATAATAAACAAACTATCAACGTAATTCTGTGTATAGAAGCTACATTTTACATTTGAAATCTGGTTGTGTAATTGCACTGATCTGTAAAAACAAATAGATGTGCACCACGTTTGTAAGAAAGCCGTCCATGCACCACCGAGAGCCGGTTTACTAATGGCAAAAATGTTTGATTTTGATTGATTTATAGCACTACAAGTCATTCATATTGAATCTATTGCGAAACAAAGAAATGTACGTCTGTAAGACATGCGTCACGTATCTATACTTTGAACTTTGTAACAGCTCTGATACAGAAACGGTAATGATATGCATATGTCTGTTTGTATCTTGGTAATTCACAATAGGCTCAACCGAGAACAGATTTAGCACACCGTATACAATGACTATGGTCTGTTTACATAGTTATCTGCTTTGTTTTTCTAACCAGAATAACGTCTGAGTGTTAATTTTTAGGGGCAAACGTAATGTCCACGACAAGTTCAATGTACACAGAAAATCGGAATATTAAAACTCTTTCACAACAAATATACCCATATGGGCATATGTGAAACGTAGTAGTTAAAACTAAATGTTATACAGGTATACTAGGATGTTTCTATGATTAATTAATTGCCGTTATTTGTGTCAAAACATCCAATTAAAAATTAATCACCTTTCAGGTGTTATGGATGTCCCGCGATAGTATCATCAAAAAGTGTTGTCAGATAACGGGGATGTTTAATCTATTTATCACAATACCTAAAATGAACACGTCAAGTACCATCAGAATCATTTGTTCTGCTTCTGTTATTACCTTGAAATTGCAATTAAATCTACAGACGACGCGTGCTCATTTAATAATCACGAACGCCCACAATTTGATAAAACGATATTAAGAATTCATCCGTACATATAAAAGCACCATTTCCGACTGTCTCTATCAGTTAACAGTATATGATATTCTGTAAAAGGGTAAGTGAATATTTTCATCCCACTTTCATCTTGTCATCAATTAAGTAATCGCCTGTGTACAATTGATTACCATTAACAGAATAGAAAGATTATTCCAGATAAGTATTTACACTGAAAACAGCTTGTACACTTCTGAAACAGCTGCCAGTAATTTGACGGCGTACGTTTAGCACCATTTCAAATAACATTTATTCGGAAAACATGTGGAGGGGGTGATTAAGTGCTAATATATAAAATATATCTATATAAAATGTTTTATTATGTTACTAACTCAGATATAGATCAAAACGAACATAATCACATTCTAATTATGTTTATTCTGTGGGTTATTTTCGTTCTAAATTAATTCCCAAAATAGCGACTGTCAAAACCGGTTTATACATCCATTTACCTGAAATGGTCTTATAGATGTAGCTAGAAATTGACAGTTTTCTTCAATTGACAAATTTCTTTTTAATCATAGTATTACCATCAGTTAAATTACAACGAGTAAATTTACAATATATATCGATGTGTTTAATCCTTACACAATGTGTCTTGATTTCATGACAGGAGCACACGTGCGTGCAATGGATAATACGAAGGTGGTTGTGTTGGTCTTCCTACTCTATGTTGTAATAATGGTTAATTTCATTGTAGCTGTGCCATGCATGTCGAAAGTAGACCGTCGCAAATTCTGCCAAGTAGCCAGGCGAGCTTCGAAGAGGCGGACAGGTAAAGCCGTATTTGAATTTATAATAACAGAGAAGAAAGAGGCAATGGTGCAATTATGTTAGCCCATGCATTTAATATTGCCTGTAAAAAGGAAAAAAACACGGGGGAAAACTACATACGATTACTAGCTAGTTTACAAATTTATCATTACATTAAGGTAGAGATGCAGTTTACCTGACCGGTATTTTAATTAGTTAATTAGGCAACCAAGATGACCTTGTCCACGAAACTATATATTTTTGGAAAGCTTATTGTATGAATTTTAAGATGTTGTAAGTATTTTTTATGGATACTATAGTTTGAAATATGCACAAAAATGTTTTTGTTTTTTTTCAAAAGTGATTTAAAAAATTAGCTTCTAAACCATGCCTCTGTTTCCTGTGAAAATTGGTTTACGGGTACATATGTTTACTATGAAGAAAGTGCCGTCTTGAAAACTGTCTACCAGTTATAAATTTTGCTGGACAGCAACTAAAATTTCACTAATTCAAGTTTATGCATAAATTAACAGCCAGGCTAGTTGTCTGTACGATTGTTGTAACACTGTTCAACCAAAAACAATGCCCTGACGGCGTTTTGAAGATAAACACATTGTCAATCATTTGTGAAAATTTCAAAAGAAAAGGTCAAAGAAGCTGAGATAATTGCTAATTTGCATATTTTATAGTTAAGTAAAAATATATGCTGATTTACATCGCCATTGCATTTAACAGAGTTCCACTAATGATTTTAATTTCAAATTTTTACACCTGTTCATACAAAGCCATAAAAAGGTGAAATTTGTCACAATTTGCAAAATAAACTGAAATTCTACCTTAAATGCTAGAATAGTGGTTATAACAATAACATCTTATACCCATGGTTTTGACATAGATAATAAAACAATTGTCCTAAATATCAATTATCTGTCAATATTTCATTGCCGATAATGGTTTATGGACACAATCGTGTGACGAAGTAAATTTCAAGAGTAGCAAGTGTGGAAAACATCAATTAAAACTTATTGTCTAGAACAAATACACACGAATGTTTTTAATCCTCAATGCAAAACAATTTGGCCATTTTTGTTGACTTTAGTTATCAATAGGATAGGAAGACAACTACATTTGAGGTCACTGACACCAATTAGCAGTGACTTAGCTTACATTTGTCATTACTATCATTTGTGTTTTATTCTTTGTAAATTCTATGTATCAGCAAACTAATAAAACTGATATCGACTTTCTTAAGTCGAGTACCAGCTTCATAAATAACTAGAGGTCTTCGTACTTTTTTTTCAACATTTCATGTGCTATCATGTATTATTTGTAATCAACTTTGGGTCACAATTCGATCACGAGTATGGCAGTTTTTTACTTTCACATATTGTCAAGTTCCTATCTCGATCACTAGGTTGACAAACCGGATGACAACAGAGAATATCATTTGTATAAAATCGACAATGTACAATTTGGCGAATAATTTATCATAACAATACCGGAGGTAGTTTAAAACTAATCACGATACTTGCAGTGAAAATGTTTAATATTTAATTTACTTATTTAAATGGAACTGAATAATTAATCATCACTACAAGTACTATATAACAGGATAACACTAAATTGATAAAACATTGATCAAGTGCGAGTATATATATACGTATATTCTGCACATGACTTAATTGTTTTATTCGCGACTTCTTGACCTGCTAAAATGTTGGATTTATTGTGTTAAATTACTACCCGATCGAGACAATCCGATACTGTAGCGTCGAATGTTATCTATCAGTTAAAATGAACATTGAAATCATTTGATGTGAGCGCATATCTAAAGAAAATTTAGCACTCATTCTAATTTGCATACATGGCAGTCATGTTATTCCCTCTGGTGTACGCATTCAGATTTCAACCGACTTAGTGAAATACTCAGTTTTTAAAGTTATCTATATGAATCCACGCAGAATAATTTTATCCGTTAGTAGATTTTTCAAGACTGCATTACATTTTAAGGGGATTTAATTTCATTATTTTGACCACATCCTTTTGGTTCACACTATTTTCATTGATTGAATAAAACAACAAGTTTGTAACAATCGCTAGATCAGTGGCTTAAATGCTAGATGAGCACGTTTTTTCGAACTTTATAAATTCGATGGACGTGTTGACATTCCATAATATTTATCTTTTAATCTAATGCAATCGATATCTCTGGACGGTTTTCGATAGTTTGGTGCTTACCATTTTTGTTTTTAAAAATAATTTCTTCATTGAAAAGAATAGCATTTGTAATCTGACTTGTTTTCAATTTCGCTTCATTCATTATTATCTGATTCATACATGAGCAAATTGCCCTGTATCATTACATTACAAAATATATAGTTCAGAAATTGGAATGAAATATTATCAATTGGAGAGAATATAAAAATTTCATGTACGGTAATGCTGAAATAACACTGCCAGTCTCAAATCAGGTAATACTAATAATAGTAATGTATGAAATGATTTGTTTTGTGCGATTAGAAATTAATAATATATCTCACACAGCTTATTATATACACCGGTACATATGCAGCATGAACAATTTGTGAAAATTCTTGCTTGGACATACCCTGGTTGGTTTAATATAAAGATATCGGCATACTAATATATTTAACACTTGTCAAATATTTAACAAAATGCTGTAACTATTTGTAAGGCATATTGGTTTTTTATATGTATGTGTGTGTTGCTGATTGGACAAATTGTTTTCGTGAAGACTGATGTGAATGTTATCGACCCGAACGTTCTTGCTATATACTGACGGTTTCATGCATTTATCAATATGCGTTTTTCGTTTTGAATCGCGTTTGAAGGATTCTCCATTTATAACTCTCCCAACCTTACAGTGGTAACGCACGGGATTTGTTTTCTCTACTAAATCACTACTATTGCTTGCTGATTTACTTTTACGATGCGTAACGACAGTTGATAAAAATAATCCACGGTCCATAGTCGTGTTGTAATTTTCACATC